CCCCCGCGGTAAGAAAAACCACAATTCGTCGGGGAGGAAAATATTATATGTATTTCGTACATATTAGTAGACGCTAAAATCGATTAAATAAGCCTTTGAAACCCCTAAATTGTCAAAATGTTCGGGTGATTCGCCCCCTGGACCACTTTCGAAATATTTTAAGCGACGCTCGACCACGTTCACATTTCTCTCGTCGGGGAAATCTTCCTCCTTGTTGGGGGAATCGCCCCCTCCCCCGTCGGGGAAATCCTGGCGCCACCCCTGCCCTACCTGACGTGTTATCAGTATTGTCATGTTCAGTACATTCCCAAATACTTGCGAAAAAAATAGCATTGCAGTACCCGCAAGCGCAAGCTCGGTGGTCTAGTGGTTAAGACATAATTCTAGTTACCTGGAGATCGTGGGTTCGATTCCAACCCGAATCAATTGCGAAATTTGTTTCGCAAGTATTTGGGAATGTACTGACCATTTAGTACTTATAATGTCAAGTAGGGCAAACATCACTTCATGTGGTGTTTTGTTATCGTAATGTTGTTATAAATTATGGATTTGCCAGAATCAATGTAGTAATGTGCTTGAAAGATAATTGGTCATGTTAATTGAAGTTAAGCCTAGTTTAATTAACAGAACTAATTATATTTCAAGCACTTTCTTTTATGCTTGGATCAAAAGAGAGGACAGTGCCCTCAAAAGATACTGTTAAGATAAGGAGTCTCAGAAGTATCAGTAAGGTGTACACATTCAATCAGACTAAAGTACTGCTGAACTCGTAAAGGTGTTGAACATGTTATCGACAATATATCATACGGTAGTTTATAACTATTAGTTACTATAATAAAACATTAATATGCTGCGTACGATATAAATAATAGCTTTAATGCAAAACAGTCCGTACTCACCGTGGATGCGAATAGACACAGCTGTGCCAAAACCGATGAATCGTAGCTAGCGAATGTCTACGATGATGATGAGGATAAAGCGGTTTCGACGTATTGGTAGTCGTAGTCTCAGTTCCATCAAATACGATACGACTGCCAACAATAACTTCACTTCTATATATCCAATAATTAGCTGTGCAATTGAATTCCTCATCGACTAATCCGATCGCAAGGAACTAACCGGAGAAATTCGACACCTTTGGTAATAAAAAAAAAAGTAATATGAGAAATTTATGAAGGGAAAACAATTCAAGCGTCAAGAAATTATATATTAATATAAATCGGAGGATATAATATTAAGGACCTACTCGATTCGTATATATATATATATATATATACATATATATATATATATATATATATATTTTTTTTTTTTTTTTTTTTTTTCTCGAGAGCTTGGCTTAATGCGCCTTGAGCACCTTTGGTGGAGATGTGCGCTTTATAAATCTTTATTATTATTAATCTGGACATGGTAATGTATTAGGCCTTAGTTACTGGTAGGCCCTACTACTGAGAAAGGATATTATTATTGTTGCCTGGTGGAAGGCTACGGCTAATTTCAAACTGAATTAAAGCGGGTCCTACCATCATAATTTTGGTTGGCTCACATCTAAGCAATTAATTCTTTTTCCGTTATGCATGTTAATAGGAGTGGCTACCTGCAACGCATCGACTCGTCTAGGTTTAACGCGTTTACACGAAACAGCTTGGTGGTTCACGCTCGAGTGTTGACGCAAGGGCACAACGAATATTTGGCTTAACCTTGTTTCCTGATGTACCGTAGCATTCGCGTCAGGATTCAACACATGGTGGGTGTAAGGGGGCGTTAGAATCAGGTTAAATTATAAAAAATATAAATGGACAGCAACCTGTGTTATATCACGTGCGTTCACTAAAGAAACATTTAAGCAGTCACTTGGTCATGACGCTATGGGAACAACATGGGAGCGGTTATTACGGATTGCCAAACAAGGCACACCACCCCCCTCCCACCCAAGTTACTCAACTGGGGTTAGGGCTTTAGGTTCGAGAATTAAACCTGGTTTCGTATTAGCTGTTGCATTAAGTATTATCAAACTTTTTCGTTAACAACTTCATTATTTTCAATATCGTAATTACCGGTTGTGTGGTTTAATAATTGGCGGGGTGGAAGTGATTTGCGGAAGGATGCTTGCCTTCTGATCCCAGGGTCCTGGGCTCAATTCCTGTAACAGCAAGATTTTTTCATTTATTTAAGAGGGACCCCTGAATATCAACCGACCTTCAGGACGCTGGAAGGGTCATCGTCTGTAAATATGGTAAAAAAATATAATAATATGCATAATCAGTGTGATGTAGGCCTAGGTTTACCGTGTTTTTTCCCCGTTTTTTTTTTTTTTAATCGGTTAGGAATTCGATCATCTCGTTTATGGCTGGTTTGAAATATGGTTTATTATGCATTTGATAATTAAGCGATCTCGTAATGTATTCTTAACTCTCTTACATTTCTCATTTCTAGTATGATGAAAAATTATTATCATAAATGTAATGTATTTAGACCTGTTGTATTAACCAGTCAGAAATAATGTCTTATCAAAATTATAAATAGGTTTTAGTAACAATACAATACACAGGCTTCACTCCCATTCGCCATCGATGGTGTTTAGACTATATCTTAGAGGGTGACCCTTACAGGATGAAGCAGTAACACTCTTTTTTAAACAACGAAAATTAGTATGCATTTCATAAACGATAACTCTCAAGTATTACGTACTGTAAGTTACCTATTTAAAACGTCAAGTGTTTAGTTTTGTCGTTAACGCACCACCCACCTTATCGCATGTGCAAAATCGATCAACCAACGATCAACCAAATGGGAAATTAGTAGAATAATCATTATACAGAAATAAATAGCGTGGCTTGCCGAAGTATCGTTAGCTTTGTATTCGAGAGGCTTCGTAAATAATGAAGGTGATTAGCTACCAAGAAAAACTTTTGTAAACCTTTTGTTTTGGCCCTGTCAGGGGAGGGGGATGTGTTGGTAGGTGTCATTTGCCACCCCCTAAATTTTTCATGTCAAATCTAAGAATATATTTTCTTAACTTCTTCTTAATTTCAGCCTCAGTGTTCTTATTGAAAAAAGTTTACGGCATTTCCAACTTAACTACGTATACACAACCACGTTCATCCTGATGCAATTAAAATAATTATGAGTTACCGTTTACACATCGTGTGTTTATATTCTATCAATTAAATTTGAAATTACTGCAGTGTTATAATCTTGAGAACAATAAAAAAAAGGGCATAAATGCGAATCATATTGGACATAATATAAACACATTGAACAGTTACGGAATAGAGTGACGATCACCTCTGACCTACAGACTCTTATTTCGATTATAATTTGTCCGATCGTTAATAACACGTTTGATAATTGAAAATCCGATCAAATATTAACGAGATATAATAGTAATCACTTGATGTGAACGACAAGGTGATTTACAGTATTGTAAAAATTAATAGGTCTCACCAAGTAAAGAGATGATCAGGCTAACGGGGGCATTTGTTGACCAGTATAAGTAGACAGTTACGCATTGTACATATTTCTGTAGAGTTCAAAATTCTATTAATAGCCTACATTTAAGCTCATTATAATTAATAATTAACAAATACATAATATGGAACGGATTTGAGCGCTGTATAGATCAAATTACTTCGTAGGAAATGTCGTTATTATAGGTGTATAGCTCAAATAATTTCATAAACCATAGGAACTCGAAGGGTCAAGTGTGGCATCGACCTTTGAACTTAGGTCATAATATCCTATTTTTCATAATTCTGAGCCACAGCTGTCATTTTAACTAAAACTAATTTGATTGAAATGTGAGATACAATATCATAAACTACATTGCTAATTCAGTTTGCTTTAGTAGTCATGTAAGACGGAATTGATATGGCTGAATACCGCCCTCAGGGGCCACAAACTCTTGATTTGACAAATTCTAAATTAATTTTTTGTCTTTTATAAAGAACATATTATATACAATTTAGAAGAAAGAGCATTTTATGACAAAAGAACAGCCAGCACAAAGAAATGTAGTTATACCCTGGCCACCATACCTAGCTTTACTGATAGAGATGTGCTGGCAGGGAGGTAGCTTTTAACTATAGTTGGAGGACAATGTTATAATCCAAATACCGCCCTCTTTTGTCTCACGAGTGACACCTGCTTAATTATTAACTTTCCAAAATTAGTTAATTGAAATGATTTTCTTAATTTTTATAAAGAACCCTACACAGACAGAACAGGTGAATTGATTAAATAGGCACGATACCATAGCAGTACCGTAATGAACGCCTATATCAAAGTAATTTCACAAAACTGATGAAATAAACTCATCTTGCGAAAGGTCTACTGATTAATAAAGAAAGTATAATACATATACTCCAGGTGTTGAAATGCACGCCATCGTGTTGGGATTCAATATTTCGACATTAATTACCGTATGTCATCATCAGGAATCAATGACGATGACATAATTAATCATTCCTGACAATGACATAATTAATGTCAAAATATTGAATCCCAACACGATGGTCTGCATTTCAATATTTGGAGTATGAATTATACTTTCTTATCTGAGATTAATTAGTGGACATTTCAGTAGTAGTTGTAGTAGTAGTAGCAGCAGTAGCAGCAGTAGCAGGGGCAGCAGCACCATTAGTACTAGTAATAGTAGCACTAGCAGCAGTAGCAGCAGCGGCGGCGGCAGTGGCAGCGCTGACAGTAGCAACCGCTGCAGCATCAGTAGCAGTATTGTGTTGATAAGTTAATTGAAATGGATTTGCACCGCGTATCTTCTCTACAACATTGCATAAATACCATTATTCCTGATACTAACATACAAAATCTAAATTCACTAGCCTAAATAACGAACATGAAATATGTCATTTACAAAAATACATTCCGAATGTTAACACAATCCGAAAATGAACAATAAGTAGAAACCCTTAGAAACGGAGAGGTAAAATACACAAAAGCATTTACTTAAATAACAACACATCAAAATACATCACAAAACACATCAAATATGTATTTTAAAAAATCCAAACCACTTTAGTTCAATCAGACGGGGAAAAAACATTTCACTTATAATATGTCTATCCTATTTAATTTGCTATATTCCGTGTAGTATATAAAATGTTTGTTTCTTTGAAAATGACTCACGAAAGCCTGCAAGTGATGTTGGCGGCATTATTTACAACATTAATACTATTCTACAAAACAAAAACAAAATGAGTAGGACTATTTTTTATGATTGAATACCCGAAAGAGATTTAGAAGTTGAATGACTAGCCACGTCATCGTCATTATCCTATCGGTGATTTGATGTTGATGACAAGTGACAATTGTTAGATGAGCCGCAAGCGACGTATTCATGGAATGCAACAAAAGGCCTAGCAATGAAAGACACTCACGCTGTCCGACCAGCATAATTCAAAAAAATTAAACTGTGCGGGACATTTACCAAATTGACTCGATTATTACCCTTTGTAACACTCTTAATGCAAATTTATAGCAAAATTACGTCAAATCATGAGCACAATCATATTACTATTTCCTCTAATATAAAACAATCATAGCTTGGTTATAGTGATAATTTGGATAATATCAGTTTCAGGTTGCTGGATTCTGAATAACATTGTAAAATACTGTAAAAACATCTAGCATCTCAGACGGTGGAGTTCCCCCTTCGTGTGTTTCCGGAATAAAGAGTTGCGAAGTATACCCGTTCAGATCAAAGTCAAAGTTCATAGCGCTATAAATACCTCTATGGATTATATAATAGGTATATA